ATCCATTCTGTCATACCCGAGGCCGATTTCACTTTCTTTCTCCTTTGCTTCTCTGTTCATTTCCTTCCTCACTTTCTACAACCTCTGGCCCCTTCCCTGGACCACGATGGTAACGCTCGATCCTTCGTGAGAAAATCATGGCGAAAAGGATACACAGCACTATCGCACAAGCCGGCGTAGTGTGCCTGTTGCTCATCAGCTTGCTCGTCGCATATGATCTTTTCTCGGGGCGCGAATACTTTGACATCGCGTACAAGCCATTCCGTACGCTCTCTTCACCACACACCTTCACCTTGCCGTCGTCGTCGTCGAACCTGACGTCAGGAGAAGCATCGATTGAACTAACACTTGACTCAGGAAAGCCAAACCCGACCGAAGCAGCGCACGGAGCAGCTCCACACAATGAAGAAAATCAGACGAACACTGCCGTAACATCGCCGGCGATCGCGCCGTCGCATACGCCACTACCCCCGATTTCTACTCCGACGCCGACGCCACCGCCGGTGCCATCCTCAGATGTAGGCGGCGGCGCCAGCTCCACAGTACCGGACGCCAACCCGGAACACCTCAAAAACGCACCGCTCTACATCGCCTCGATCCTCGACCCAGACAACAAATCTCTACCCAGGCTGGACTGCCCTCGCCCCGACATCTCACGCTACCAGTACCTTAAGCCAGGCACCACACTCAAGAAACCCAAATTCTTCATCGCCCTCAACATACGTGAGAAGGCGGACCTCCTCCCGCGACTCCTAGGCTCCATCGTCGAGGCACTCCATTTCTTGGGCCCGGAGAATTGTGTCCTCTCAATAGTGGAAGGCAACTCGGGCGATGGCACCTACGAAATCCTCCACCTCCTTCGTCCGGAAATCGAGAAGCTCGGCACCGAATATCACTTCTCCCGCAGCGACCTCGACCCCGGCGCGAGCGACCGCATCCCCAAACTGGCCGAGCTGCGCAACATGGCCCTCGCCCCCCTCGTCTCCGGTGGGCCAGGCAAGTACGCCGCTGACGCAGTAGTTCTCTTCCTCAACGACGTGGCCATTTGCCTAGAAGATATTCTCGAACTCGCGCACCAACGCTTATACCTGGGCGCCGACATGACGTGCGGCTTCGACTGGACCTACGTCGGTCCCGATCCGACCTTTTACGACGTGTGGATCAGCCGCACCATCGCGGGCGATTCCTTTTTCGAGATTCCGCCTGACGGCAACTGGAACTCTGCATGGAACATCTTCTGGAACGAGGATACCTCGCGCCGGCGCTTCTTCGACCACAAGCCGCTGCAGGTGTTCTCGTGCTGGAACGGGGCCGTGGCGATGACGGCGAGACCGTTGCTGGATCGACTTGTTAGTTTTCGGGCGCCCAAGCCGGGGGAGTGTTTCCAGGGCGAGCCGCAGCTTTTCTGCAAGGATCTGTGGAATGCCGGGTTCGGCAAGATTGCGGTGGTGCCAAGTGTCAATCTAGAGTACAGTGACGAGGCCGGGAGGAAGATTAAGGCAGCAAAGGGATATACCAGTCAGTGGGTGGGAGGCGAGGACGAGGTGCAAGATTTCAGGGTGGATTGGAAGGCTGATCCGCCTGAGAAGGTGAAGTGCATGGCAAGTTATGATAAGCAGATGTGGGAGCCCTGGAATCAAGCGCTGGAGTAATGAGAATAATGTGGCTATGATTGAAATTAACATAAAGTAGTGGTACTGTCTTTTTTCCGCTGGTTAATATTTGTATCTGCGCTGCTCTATCCGGATCCTTCCCCCTTGAACCCCATGAAAGGAAAACTAACAGATCCTTATGAATTTATGAACACCCTTGCTCATTATCTATTGCCCATTGAAACAAATGCCTCCCAAACAATCTAAAATCAGTCCAAATCCAAACCATCCAGCTCATCCAGCTTCCGATCACTGCGATGTAGTAATCCCTACCCCTACCTACTCAAACTTTTGAAGTCTGGCCCACGCTTCATACATCTTCAATTCCGCCTGGGCCTTGGCCAGCTTATACTCGAGGTTCTCTCGATCCTCTGTCTGGCTTGGGTACGGGTAAGGTAAGCCAGCCTTACCGTTGGGTTCCCACTTGACCGATGGGGCCCAGGCACGTCTAGTGTGGCTGCGGACCGGCCTGGGTTCATGAAACTCCTCCTCCTCCTCTTCGTATTCCTCTTCGAAATCCTCTTCAGAATCTTCTTCCCCGGAATCATCTTCGGGATCCTCTCTGATGAGGACGGCGGTGGACGAAGCAGAGCCTCTTGGGGCTCGAATGGTTCGTCTCGGTGTGGCTGGGGGCGGTGCTGCAGTGCGCTGGCGCTGTGATGATCGCGTAGACGCGGGCTGCTGGATGTCCCTTTTGTTGACGACGGGAGTGGAAGGCGGCGTGATCATGGTCCTGGTCTTGATCGTGGCCGTGGCTGTGGTTGTGCGCTGTGGTCTCACGGGAGCCTTGACATCCATTTCCTCAGCGACGCCGCCATCAATACAAACTTCAAGGTACGACCGGATCCGAGCCTTCCACTGCGTAGCCATCTCTCCAGCCTGTGACTGGTGAGATCTCTTGCACAAGGCGAGACCGGCGAGTCGCTCGAGGTGGGCAGACGCAGACTCCAGACTACCGCAGTTGATAATGTCGAGCATGACGAACGCCATCTCGGATCGCGAGGCCTGGCTAACTGCGTTGCCGCAAGACGACTTTGTGGCGGAGTGGCCTTGGCAGTTGAAGCAGGATCTGATGTTGACTTCAAGGCAGGTCTGGAGCTCGGTTGTGGTTTTTAGCCATTTGGTTTTGATGGCGGCGACCATGGTTGCTTATGAGTTGAGGTGGAATGATGAGGAAAAACGAAGTATAAATGATGCTGCTTTCTCATTGACTAGGGAATAGACACGGAGAGAAGCTGTTGTAACCCATCGAGATGGAATGCGGCTCTCTGAAATCCACATCGTACTGACTGACCGTTTGCACGTCGGCCACGGCAGACTGGTGGTCATCGTCTTGGCCATGGGCAGCCACGGGGAAGGTCATGGAAAGCACTAGAGAATGAGCTGAAAGGCTAAAAGAGCCGTCTAGAGTTAAAACTGGTCTGTATCGGACATCCGCAGCTGCTAGAATATGTTTCTGCAGTATGCTAAATATTCGCAACGGCGGCGAGGTTACTTCGACAAAGAGTGTAACAAAGTATGAAACCTAACACTTACACTATTATCCGAGAAACAAGACAGCTTCAGTTGCATATTGTCTCTATATCCTCCATTATATTTGAGAAAGAGAAGACTCTCTGACTAGAACACAAGATATGAGAAGCGGACACCTTATTGATTGGATGAGCTTGGAGTTTTGGCGCAAGCACAAAGCCTCGTACGTCTTGCAGTATCGGATTCCAAGCAATCTCCAGCAACCGCATTTGATGCCTGCTGGGGCAGTTACGCTTGCGAAACAACAGCTGACCAGGGAAGCGAGGCAGGCAGGCTTTAATGCCAGCGGAGGGTCAATAATCCTGATCCGGTGTAGATCAAAACGGTACGGGTGCGATATGTGAGTGTAAAAGAACGGATGAATGTATGAGGCTGTCCAAATTGACGAGATGAATGGAAAGGTGCCTTCTAGAAGTATCGTGTTCCTGAGGCTTGGAAGCTCACAAGTAAACACTCTTGAACGTATCAAGATGCTGCATCACGGCAGACTACGTAGTCTTGGCAGTTACCGGGCAAATGGCTACGTTAGCCCATACTCACCGACAGGTGTGGGGAGGTATTATCTCTCGGTCTAGGTTCATTTGACTGACAGCGTAGGTGCAGGGCAGTATTTACTTGAGCTCCGTTAGCTGAAGAGGACGAAACATGCACGCTGACAACGTGTGACGAAAACGATATGGCCCCTTCTGACTTGTATGGCAGCCTCTTCATTGTGTAGACAAGTTAGGAACCAAGAGATTTTCCAAGGATGACTATCATCTGGCTTCCGTGACATTCTTCGGGTCGTTCTAGGGTGTTCATGCAGTTCTACACTATTCTTGCGGAGCGGCACACTGCATCATCAAGTAAACCCAACTTGCGCAAACGCATGATGCTAGGTGGTGAGACTGACCGACAGATTTGTGACCTCTCTTCCTAACAGCTGGAAGTTGTTTTTGCGCGCATGAATTCTGTAGCCTACCCAAATCATAGAATCCCAGTCATTCGTATGTTAGAACGGCAAAGACCAGATGGTACTGTGATCTGGGATGTTTACTGCAGTGGGAGGAGCTTGTTCGATAAGATGGTCATGATAGTAAGGTGTCCGGGAAGCTGTTCCTTTCCTTTTAGACTGAAGAGTAAAGTAAGGCATTTGCAACGAAGCGGGAAAAAGGGATTGACCCTCAAGCAATCAAACAAAAAGCGTCGGTGTGGGGTGGCCGAAGGACTGAAGTCGCACTCTGGAAACCCTCCAAATCCCACTCGACCACCCAACCTGTTACGCATTTTATGACAGGAAGGAAGGAGAAGAGACCCAAGTAGGTACGTCCTTCCGCATTCCCAATTAGGCGGCGCATTGTGTAAACAGCACCTGTCGTACCTTTACTCGACCAATGAACTGTGCTCTTGATGGTGCTCCTGCTCTAGGTTCTTTATTAAGTAACAAGACAATCAGTGGATCGTCCTGTCTTGAATTGATACAAGAGTATGCAAAATCTGCTTCCTTGAGTTTGACAAGAAGCTATTCGGACATTTGTATACGCCCGAAGGTTCCCGACTTTGGGTACCAGTTGGAGTTAAGCATGTAAGTTTTGCTGACTCACCTTGATCAACATATTCGTGCATCGTGGAGGAAACAGGCGTTTGCGCCGCTTGCAGATCATCGGATCGTGTTGCCGACGGGGTAGGTAAGCCCGGACTTTAAGGACTTAACTCAAGATAATTGGCCACCGACTTTATCTCATCTAAGAACTCAATCCCGCACTCATCACAACATTCTTGAAATTTTATTTCCAGAAGTGATTCGAACACATTGAACGAGCAGAATCAAACAACATGGACTTCGATTCCGAGACACAGGCAACCTCATCTCAGCGCATGTATACCGCGCGAGCTGACAACTATGAGAACTCATTCCATCCCGACTGGACCAAGCGCTTCATGGCCGTCGCAGATATCCAACCCGGTGAACGCGTTTTGATTCTAGCTTGCGGCACCGGCCTCGAGGTTTTCACCGCTGCTGACCAGGTGGGCGACACGGGCGAGATCGTCGGCCTCGACGTCACCGAGGCCATGCTCAACAAGGCGAGAGAGAAGCTAGAGCGCCTCAAGCCGAGTGCAAACATTCGTCTGTTCCTTCACGATGCCACAAAATTGGAGACTTTGCCGGAGCTGGAGGGGCAAAGTTTTGATGCCATCTTGTGCTCCAGCGCCTTTGTTCTCTTTGACGACCCTGAAGGTGTCGTTGCGAGGTGGCGCAACTTCCTGAGACCGGGAGGCAGGGTGGTCATCGATATCACGCATGAGGACAACTTCAAGATCGGACTCATTCTGGAGAAGGCGGCTAAGCGCCTACGGTCACGATTTCCCAGCAACAGGTCCTGGATCACGGACAAGAACTCCTTCACAAAGATTCTCGAGAGCGCAGGGTACGTGGTGGACAGGATCGAACTAATGCATAACATTTCCGGGCAAGGAGACACATATTACGGTATGGACCAGATTGACGAGCAGTTTGAGCATGTCACGAGCACGTCGTTGGTCACCAGTCTCCCGACGGAAGAGTTCAGGGACCAGGCTAGGGCACTCTTTCACGAAGAGTGGAAAAAGGCTGCCGTTGGCGGCCAAGTCGTCAACGTAGATGCTCTTTATATCTATGTAGCCCGGAGAACCTAGGCCCGGCCATGACATCTAATAAGAACCTTTCCTTGCGCACCTGGCTCTACAACTTCGCCTTACCACTGCCCTTGAGATTCGGCTTCACCGGGACCTTTGGATGGTCGCCCTCTAATGCGAGTCCAGTAACCTTCTCTAGTTCTTCTACCGCCTCGTAGGCTCGTCCTAGATGGACTTTGATAGTGTTGAACCCTTGCTTCTTCGCCTCCTTTAGGTTCTCGCCAATGTCGTCCAAGAACACGATATCCTGTGGTTTAATGCCCTCGCCCCACTTGAGCGCCTGGCCTCTCTCAGAGCTCGCATTCAGGGCAGCGTACTCGTTCAGCCTTTCCAGCGCGAGGTGATACATTCTCGGATCCGGTTTTCTCAAACCAGCATGTGCCGAAGAGACAAACACGTCAAACAAGCTGCGAACGGGGTCGTCCATGAAGTCTTTTCTATGCAGCTTGTGACCCTCGGGGAAAATTACGGTGTTGCTCAGCGCGGCGAGGATGTACTTCCCACTGGACTTGAGCTTTTTCAGCGCCGGGTACATCCACGGGTCCGGGGGAATTGAGTTGGCCATCATGGTGTTGAAGAGGTACTTGGCGTCGACGGTAGGTAAGGGTGGCGTCTCCTTAGGGAGAGATGGATTCTTTGCTTTTTGAGCGGCGTAGAATGCCTCCCAGCGGCCTTGGTCGTGAAGGTCCTTACTGAAGCCGTCAAAGAAGGCCTGGTCCATAGGTATTGAGCCCGTCTCAAGGCGATGCCAAAAGCCCGTAGGACTTGTCTTGGAGATGGAGTAATTCACCCATCCTGGCGGGATACCGAGACTGAGCTCATAATCTAGGATGGATTGAAATGGTGATACGACCTTGTCAAGTCAGAAAATTGGCCGTCATTGAAATATGATATGATACGCATGATTAACAACAACGCATTGGTGACTTGGAGGCTATTGAGCAGAAAGAAATCACAGGGTGCTACTTACACACACACCACCAATGTCGAATAAAAGCACCTTGGGCTGCTTGGAGTCTGTCATATCGTCTACAGCCTCGAGAACGTGATCAATCAGAAAGGTATCAGACTCTTCTAAGGACTGCATGGCTCCGAGAAACGGCAGATCTATGTTCTTACGAAGTAGTTATAGTAAACCCACAACTCGGGCCAGCGTTGAAAGTCGTGGAGAGCAGCGATGGGTTGGGGGGCCGAAACCTGGGGAAAGCCCCCACCTCGGTGCGGATTGTACCAGTGGACCTCGGCCCAAAGCACTAAGGCACTGAAGGAATTGAGAGGTCACTCGAGATGAGGTAAGCATAAGTGCACAGACCATGTCGTCCCCGGCCAAAGTCCAATCTCCACGTGACTCGTCCCCGACCTGCTTTGGGAGTGACAATCGAGAGGGGAGAGGTGGGGCCACACAATCTAGGGCTGCCCCAAAACCCACAGAGGAATATTATCGCGAAGTTGTGCCTTGGAACTTTTTTCACTCTTGACAACCCCCTTCGACAACCACCCACACCGACAAATTTGAGCCAACCGCCCGCTCATATACCGTCAAGATGGTAAGTTGATACATCAACCATCAGCTCGTCAAAAGCCTGAAAAATGGCCGAACGACAAATTGCGACAAAAACCTCCTCTTTCTAGCCAGCAATGGCGAAAAAGAAATGGCCCCCAATAGCAGACAGAAATGTCTCATGGGATTGAGAGTCAACGCAAGATGCTTCGGGTCAACAGGCCATATCTGAAGCGCAAATTGCTGACTCGGGATCTTTCGTACACAGGCTTTCCACAAGTTGGTGAAGAACAGCGCGTACTACAGGTAAGTCTCAAATCACTTTAGAGATCCCCATTCATAGGTTCTTTCGAGATCAGAGTTGGCTGACCTCTCCACTCCAGTCGCTTCCAGACCAAGTACAAGCGTAGAAGATCCGGCAAGACCGACTACTATGCCCGCAAGCGCCTGATCACCCAGGCCAAGAACAAGTACGGTGCCCCCAAGTACCGTCTTGTGGTCCGCTTCACCAACCGGGACATCATCATGCAAATCGTCACCTCTGAGCTCACCGGCGACAAGGTCTTCGTCGCTGCCTACGCTCACGAGCTCCCCGCCTACGGCATCACCCACGGCCTCACCAACTGGGCCGCCGCCTACGCCACCGGTCTCCTGATCGCCCGCCGTGCCCTCTCCAAGCTCGGCCTTGACAAGACCTTCACTGGTGTTGAGGAGGCCGATGGTGAGTTCACCCTCACCGAGGCCGCCGAGACCGACGACGGCGAGCGCCGCCCCTTCAAGGCCAACCTCGACGTCGGTCTCCACCGCACCTCCACTGGTGCCCGTGTCTTCGGCGCCATGAAGGGTGCCTCTGACGGTGGCATTCTCGTTCCCCACTCCGAGAAGCGCTTCCCCGGTTACGACATCGAGTCCAAGGAGCTCGACGCCGAGACCCTCAAGAACTACATCTTCGGCCAGCACGTCGCCGAGTACATGGAGACCCTCGCCGACGACGACGAGGAGCGCTACAAGTCCCAGTTCCAGCAGTACATTGACGACGACGTCGAGGCTGACGGTCTCGAGGAGCTCTACACCGAGGCCCACGCCGCCATCCGCGAGGACCCCTGGAAGAAGGAGGAGTCCGGAAACAAGAAGACCAAGGAGGAGTGGAAGGCCGAGTCCAAGAAGTACAAGACCAAGCGCCTCACAAAGGAGGAGAAGGAGCAGAAGGTCAAGGAGCGCATCGCTGCGTACCGTGCCGAGTAAATTCTTCCCTTTCTGTAGTAGCAAAGCGGTTTAATTCATTCGTGGTGGGGTTTGGCATCTGGGCAAGGCATTTGACGTTATGGCATGACAACTTTTCTTCAGTCTTCTTCGGGCGTTAATCAGGCAAACAAAAATCCGGAAGGAGGATTATGATGGTCACGGGAGGAGTCACAAAAAAAGACTCCTCAATTCAATAAGAATATCCCAAATGCCAGACGTCAAAAGCTATTGACCATCCATTGAAATGTTTTTGTCCGAATGAGGGGAACGTGATAAGTGACAGCAAGCCAACCCTCTCCTAAGCGCAGGTAACCGTTCGTCTTCTTGCAATCACAGCGATGCCGGTCTACGTCAAAACGAAAACGTGCGTGAGGAGACGGCGCTACTGTAACGCGGTGCCGTCTCACGCCTCGGCGGCACGATTGAAAATGCTTGATCGCTCGCTAGTCGGACTCGATGCACTCCGTGACAGGCGATGGACCTGTCGGCCGCAAGGTGACGCAGATTGGCAGGCGTGTGTGATCACTGTGGTGGTGAGGCACAAAAAAAAAAGAGGGAGGGCATGGGACCCCGCATAGGAGCACCAATGATATCAGATCATGCGAGACGGCATTGGGGAAATGCGTCGATCTCTTACGAGAATCAAGAGATGATGGCATCTGCAAAACTTTTGGAGCCCCAGAGGGTTCCGGGATAGTGCAAAGGGCCATTGGCTTCATACACCTCGCGATGATGTCGGCACGGGTCTCCGTACAGACTATCGTGAGAGATGTTGAATCTGAGATGGGTCACAGCCTCCTCGCTTTTCCCCTTGACCAGGTAATCATGCCGCTACTGCTGCGAGGCAGAGATGGGTCGATTCCCGTCTGGTCCCACAAAGCGTCCGAAAACTTTGTATGGCGACATAGGTAAAATTGAGGAGACACCATGAGATCCAATTTGGATCTCTCCGGCAATGACAAGGGACTTCAGAGGAGCGTAGGAGACACTGGCACACTGCAGCTATGCGCCAATTCCAGGAAGTCAACGATGAGAGGAAACGAGCCGAGATTCGCATTTCGTCACGTCGCGCGCGGGAATTACGGGATGAACGGAGGGCATAGCGCGGGGATGGGAGGGTCGCGAGAGGCGGAAATCCCACCTGGAGTCCCAGACCCGAAGCACATCATTTCATCCGGTTGAAAAATAAAGGAATGGTACGCTGGGAAATACGGTACACTGCTGCAGAAGGAGACAAGAGCCCACAACCGCTCCGATGTGCCGCCACGCAAGGTTCCGTTCGAGAGTGGGTGAGTGAGAGTCCCTGGTATTGTAGCGGTGTCCGTTTGTCTGCCCCTTTTAGACGAAGGGACACCGCTGAATGTTAAAGCAGGGGAGTCCCCCAACGGCAGCTCCGTTGAGTGAGGGCCCCGTGATGTCGCGATGCTCATGAGGCGGTCAGCGGGTCACTCCATGGTCGACAGTGGCCCGTCTTGTGTATCCGTACTTATTTATGCTCGTGGACTGGTGGCCCATTTTCTTCCAAATCACTGCAAGATCAAAGAGTGCCTCTGGACCCCGAATCGACGCCGCTGTACTTACGCGGTAGTGTACAATGGGGTAGTAGGTAGGTAGTGCACCTAAATGTGAAGGTTATGACTGCAAATGGCAAGTGTGAACTTTGTCTGGCTTGTGCGCGGGCGTTTGGCGGCTTGTTTTGACAACGTGCAGGATGCTTGAGCGAGCCCAGTCACTCTATTCCGTAGAGTCCAGCGTTCAACTGTCAATGACTTGGCAGGCCCGCCGCCCCAAGGGTGAGCTGTGTGGTCAGTCCGGTGGTCAAGAGGCGCGCGATTAATAAGAGCCCCCATCTGCGTCCAGCCCACGTCCTCCTGTGACTCTGCAGTAGTGTGCGGTTCTAGTGGCAGGTTGCAGAAAGATGCAGGGCTGTTCGTCCGCTTGCGAATGGAGAGTGAAGGCTGTGTGTGACGATGTGTGGTGACCAGTGAGGGTCGCCTTGTCGTGGATGCCAGGCGATTGGCGCCGAAATGAAGGTAACTCAGCTGGGGCAAGTTAGCAGCACACGGGGGGGGGGGGGGGGGGGGGGGGGGGGGGGGGGTGGGGGGGGGGGGGGGGGAGGAGGGGGGGGCGGGGGGGGGGGGGGGGGGGGGGGGGGGGGGGGGGGGGGGGGGGGGGGGGGGGGGGGGGGCCGGGGAGTCTCGAGAGACTGAGAGTGAGAGTCTGAGAGAGTTCCAGGTTGCTCTCTCTCGCTCTC